TCTCCAGCAGACGGGAAAAATTTATAGTTTTTCACTCGCGTAGAGTATTTATTAACTGCATATTTAAATTACGTAGAAAGTAACAAGTCTGTGATTATGTTCGGAGTTTATGTTATTTTACGAATAATAAAAAAGTTTGTAATTGTGTTCGCACTGTATGTAATCTTGTAATAATAATAAAAAGGTCTCTGTGATTGTGTTAACACTTTATGTTAGTCAAATATTAATAACAAAAAGAAAGTTTGCAACAGTAGTCGCAAAACACGAATTAACCCTGCGCCTTTTTTTCTCTTTTTTTTTCAATGAAACAATCGGCCGGCCTCCAGTCGAAATATGAAATCTCCAGCGCACGGACCTTCGGACCCCAGCTGTACAGTGCTCGGGATCTGGCAACCGTGGTCACTTTATAAGTTGCTACTACTTTTTTTTCTAAGTGTATCTACATGAAAGGATTAGATAATTATTTTAAACTGATTAATTGATTTGCGATTAGAAAGATATTCAATAATTCTTGAAAATATTTTGAAGATATTTTTTATTTTTTCTTTGTTTTCTATATCGATTTAAATATATCCTGCTGATTCATAATATAAGGCTTACGTTAGATCTTGAATGCTCGTATTGGAGCTTGCCATTTCAAAATCAATCGTTCTGGGCTGGTTAATAAATAATTTAATATTTTTCGGCCCATTTTCCGTGGGTGCCTTGATCTTAAGTGAATGAACCTTAACGGGCTGCGAGAATGCGATGGACATTATCAACTGCTCGTCCTCGTCGCTCTGAAGATACCCACTGTCCGAATTCAAACACTGAGAGAAAGTGTGATAATCCGATTCGTTTAAACACTCGCACTGCTGTTTCATTATGAAACTGGATAGGTCCATCTGAAAAAGAAACCCCCGAAAGTTCTTCGGTTAATCATCAACGAAATAGAAGAGACAAAGTAAATTACAAATTCAGTGTGATTTAAAATTTTATTTTATTTTTATTGTTTTTAAACTCCATGACATTAAAATGATAAATGAGTTTTCATCATTAATAGTTTCAATATATATTATAT